GGGCGAACTCCCTGGAGCTGCATCCATGTCTGAGGCTCTTGCAACCCCATCTTCCTCCCTGTCTCCTTTCCCAGGTGTCAGACTTGCATGCTGGTCTGAAGTCTCTCCTGGCCTCCCCATGATCCCTCACCCCTTTACCCTTCACAGGTCCCACCCCCGATCCGCCCCCAAGAGCCTTTTAACTCCATCTCTTCTCTGCTTCCCAGAGAACCTGGCCCAAGAGCATGCACAGAGCAGCCCATCCTGTATCCAGCCTGGAGGAGCAGGGATGGGCCAGATCAGTTGGGTGGAGAGGGGCGCTCGGGAGCAGATCTATGGATGGATAAGTCTTGGCTGTGCTCAGTCTGAGGGGCTTTATTAGACAGTTGGATGAGGTCCTAATTACCCCTGGACCCGGGGCAAATGCTGCCTTTCCCACAAAGCCGTCTTGGACGTCGCCGTCAGGATGAACAGTGGCTGCCGGTGAGCGGACACGTAGCACACGCCGCGTGTGCTCACCATGCCGTAACTGTCCCCTATACTCAGTCTTCAGAACAATCCCACTTAAAGAACCAGAAGCTGGACTCCCGGTCCCTGTGCAGTGTCAGGTCACTAGACCGGGGTGCAGCAGGCATGCAAGTCAACCTACACAGGATGCCCCCCTCTTCCTGCTGATTTCCTACACGGTTGGGTCTCCCCCTTTAAACTCTTTCCTATCAGAAATCACATCTGAACCACCTCTGAAGTCTCCAGTATCCATCCCGGGGCCCAGCATTCGGAAGGGCCCAGGCAGCAGACATTCTGGGACCTTCTTGGGCTCGTCTGAGCACTGGTAAGCATCTCCTTTCAGGGAGAGCCCCCGGCACCTGCAGCCACAGACAAGCTGGAGGCGGAAGCTGAGTGCGGCCACCAGGACCTGGGAGGGCAGTGACCTGCACAGCCCGTCTCCTCCAACCCGGGGGGAGGGCCCCCTGCCCCACCACTCCACGGCTGCCCAGGCGCTGCTTGCTGCTGCGAAAATGAATGCTTCTTCTCTTTTGAGCACCACAGGGCACCCATTCTGAGCACCAAGTGATGCCCTGAAGCCCCTGGGAAGCTGACAGGCAGGAGCCTGAGAGGTTTGGCGCCATCCTTCCCCGGAAGAAAGCTGGCTTGTTCAGGAGCACAAAGGCTGGGCGCTGGGCGGGTGACAGGCTGTGAATGCTAATGGGCCAGGCCCTGGGAGCCCCCCCTTTCCAGGGAAGGGCCCTGGGCCTGGGCCGGATGCTCCCAGCAGCAGCGGGACTGCCCTCCCCCGGCCCCTCCCGCAGCGCAGGTCGCCTGTGCCCATCACGTGGGGGCCCGGCTGAGCAGCTGTCACAGGCAGTGCAGCGTCTAAACACCCGTGCAAACTTGGACCAACAGGTCCTGCCGAAATGTGCTAACCATCTGCTTTTCCTTAGCTGTTTTTGAGCAAATTGTGTTTATTATGTTAATTTATTTTACTGTCAACAACACAGAATGACACAGTTGCCGATAAACAGCATCATTATGTATCTCATTCTGGCACCTTACCAGAACTTTTTTTTTCCCCTAATGCAACAGGGGGAAAAAAAATACACATTGAAATGTTGATCTATTTAAAAGTGAGTCCTGGAGGGCACTCATGAGGGGTCAGGAAAGGTCTTCTCTGGGGCAGGCACCCTCTCGGGGAGGGCTGGGGGGACCAGGACTCACACTTGGCCAGAAAAGTGGGATCTCTCAGAAGCTGCAGGGCTGAGAAAGGCTTTTATTCATCTGATTTTTCTCCCCTAAACTTCCCTCCAAAACTCCTCCGATTTTCTAGGTGGTCAGGTAAGGGGACCAGGAAGAGTCTGGGAGATTTGCCATGTGAGTGCCTTTGTGACTCACTGGGAACCACCCTAAAACCAAAACAACCAGCCTGGGGCTGGACCTTTTAGTAATTAGGATCATCTCACAGGTGGTGCTAGTGGTAAAGAACCTGTCTGCCAACACAGGAGACAAAAGAGACGTGGGTTCGATCCTTGGGTCAGGAAGATCCCCTGAAGAAGGAAATGGCAATCCACTCCAGTATTCTTGCCTGGAGAATCCCATGGACAGAGGAGCCTGGTGGGCTACAGTCCATGACGTCGCAAAGAGTCGGACACTTAGCAACTTAGCACACACACCCCCATGTGGAAACCAATAAACTCCATACTTCCAGAGAAAGGGGAGGAAAAAAGGAGTGCTGGGTGGGGGACAGAGGAGCCAGAAGATACATTTCAGGATGATCGGGGGTCAGGGCATTGGCTTGGGATGGACTGGTCCCCCCAGCCGAGTGAATCCTGACCCTGCAGAACCCGAAGGCAGACTCATGCTGCTCCAGCAGTTCGCCAATTAGGCAATAAGCAACAGGGGGCAAATGCAGCTTCCTGGGAGGAAAACAGTTCAGTGCTTCGGACAGAGACCAGAGCTGCTTGCTGCAGCAGAAAGGAACAGGGTTCCTTTCATTCGGCTCACAGGCCTGCAGGGGACTGTCTGAACACCCCGATCCAGGCTGGCTTCCCTGCGTAACGGAGGGCTGCTTTGCCTGCCGACCCTCAGAAGCCAAGAGAAATTCCCAGGTGGGATTTTCTCAGCACAAATGACCCGCCTGATCAAGGGATCTGGTAGCCAGGTGGCTTCTGGGTATCCTTGCAAATATTTGGTTTCAGAGAAGGGGTCATGTTACAATGGTTTAATATTTGGAGACTGAAAGGGCTGCAGCAATAAGCTGTGTCCCCTTCTTGTCCCCCAGCCGCCAGCAGACAGCCCATAAAAACGTGGGGCTCATGTTCACACAGAGGGCTGCTGGTTTTATGGGCTGGGAGAGAGGGGCGGGAGAGGACGGTCACGGGCAGGCTGCCTGAGAGTCTCAATTAAATGGGTGGCAGCTGCCAGGGACACGGCAATCAGGAGGGGAACACCTGAGTCCTGGGCGCCTGACATTGTGTGAGGGCCCCCTGCTCAGCCACAAAATGCCCGCAGACCTGTCCTTACCCTGCCTCCCAGAGCCAACATCTCCCCACCGCCTGATCCCACCACACAATGGCTCCAGTGCTCGCTCCTGCCCTCTACAACTCACAGCGGGCCCCCAGCCTCCTCGCTTTCTCCCCTCTGTAGAAGCCCACTCACCCTTGGGAAAAGGTAACACATTGGTTCACTTTAAAATAGGTGCTGGGGATTTCCTGGTGGCCCAGTGGTAAAGAATCACCTGCCAGTGCAGGAGACACAAGTTTGATCCCTGGTCTGCGATCCCTGGGTCACGAAGATCCCCTAGAGGAGGGCATGGCAACCCGCTCCAGTGTTCTTGCCTGGAGAATCCCGTGGACAGAGAAGCCTGCGGGCTACAGTCCATAGGGTCTCAAAGAGTCTCTCTGGATCAGGAGCCACAGCTACTGAGCGCAAGCACTGCAGTTACTGAAGGCTGTGCACCCTGGATCCCATCCTCCTCAACGAGAGGCCTCTGCAATGAAAAGCCTGAGCACCACAACTAGAGAGTAGCCCCCAGCTGGCCATAACTAAAGAAAAGCCAGCACAACAACGAAGACCCAGCACAGCCAAGGAGAAATAAATAAATAATAAAAATAATAAAGAATAAAATTAGCTGCTTAAGTCGCATCTCTTCAAGGGCAGTTCCCATTGAATTGAGGGCTCAGCCTGAAATCAGAGGAATGGGTCTGTTATTGAGGAGTGTTTCAGGAAATGACAGGGAAGGAGAAACTCCTGTCCCCTGCACTTTAAGCTCCTTCAGGAAAAAGGAAAGGAGTTGGGGACCCCGTCAATTCCCCGTGGCGGCTGCTCTGTAGCCCGGAATCCACTCTGTGCACCCTTGCTCTCTAAAAGTGGGTTGTTCAGCATCCCGGAAAACAAATCGCTTGGGGGCGGACGCTGGGCACCAGGTGGCGCTGTTGCCCAGGGCCGTCTAGTTGCCCTCCGGGCGGGGAGGATGGGGAACGCGGGTGGAGAGAGGGTAACCGCCAAAGTGAGGTCTTAGAGGTCCGGGGTGCTTCCAGTCTGGAGTTCCTAACTCAGTAGTAACTGGAGGGCGGGGTTTAAAGAATGAAGCGCGAATTCTTCCATGCCATCCTCAATCCCCGTTATAAAGCCCAGCGATTCTCCAATTCCTGGGATGAGAGGTTGGGGCCGGGTCAAAGACTTCGAATTGTGGTCCCCGAGGGCGGGGGCGGTGAGGCAGGACACCGCTCTTTTCGGGTTCTGGCAGAGGGGTCCCAGGACCTTCACTGGACAGTGCGTGCCATCTTTCCAGGAGCGGCGCCGAGTCCACGGCTCCCAGAGCGGATCACAGCGGGTCCCGCGGCGCCCCCGCCCCCACCTTGGTCTGGAAAAAGCCAGAGCATCCCCTGGCGCTGGGCTTTCTTCACGTAAAGTGATTACCACGTGTCAGAAAGAAACTGCTGCTTTTCTGTATAACCGCAGACCACTTCGGAGAACAGGGACTTGGGATCGAAAAGGAAAACTGTTTCAAAACAAAACAAAATACTGCAAGCTGGCGCTTTCCCCCCACCCCCTTCCTTTTTTTTTTTTTTTAAGGGAGGGAGGATTAAAAAACAAACAAAAAAGTAAGTCGGCATCTTCTCACAACTGCAGCTGATTTCCTGTGTAAACGAAAACCATGTGATATTCCATAAAGGCTTCCAGCTTTAAATGACAGGAAATGAAAACCATCACGGAAAAGGAAAGCTGCGGAGTCAATTCCCAGCGCAGATATCATTACGGCGACAGATCAGGGGGATGGCTGCTAATGGGGGCCGGGCGCCGGGGACAGTGACTCCTACAGCTCCCACCCCCGCAAATGTTTCTTCTGCAGGAGAAATGGGGCGGCGGCGATCACACCCCGGCGCTGCGCCCGGCAACTGGGCTTTCAATTAGGGACCGAGCTGGGGAAAGCAATCCTTTCTTTCTGCTCGCCTCACCCGGGTCAGGTCACGACCCCTCCACCGCGTTCAACCGGCGGTGCCATCCATATGCATGAAGGCTAATTAACTCTGAAAGGCCCTGCTGGCTGGGCCCTCCCCGCCGTGCAGGGGTGCGGTGAGCAGGGGTGAGTGGGGAGGGCGCGGGCTCCGATGGTCTCTTCCCCCACCCCCGCCCAGGCCCGGGCTCTGCAGCTGCTCCCGCGCCGGCCGAGTGAGCACGTGTGCTAGGGGAGCGCGCCTCTCCGCGGCGCGGGGACCTGAGAGGCCCGGGAATTAGCCGCGTCATTTGTCGCCAGCCTAGCAACACGTGCTGATTTATCCCGATGGCTCCCGCCTGGCCCTGCGCCCCGGGCCCCAAGTGTGAAAGGGATGCTAATTCTAAAGGGAGTTTCAAGTTCGGGCCACAAGGCTTCTAGCCCCAAGGCTGGCTGCCTGTGGGAGGGAGCGTGGCTAAGTCCCTCCCACCTCTCTGGGTTCCTTGCCTTTGCTCTGCTCTGATGTGATGCTGCTGGGCTGGAAAATCAGTCAGGCACTTTTCACTGATGATAAATCCCTAGAGATCTAGCCAGCTGCCATATTTTCCCTAGCTCTGAATGTTTTTAGGTTTCCCAGTTCATGACAAGCCAGGAAGTACCTTGGTTTCCATGAGGTGGCAATCTGCGGGGTGATATTTTCTACTTCCTTCGGTATCAATTAAGACTCAAGTTTAGATTTTACAGACTACCTTGAGCTAGTTTAAGCAAACTAGAGAATATATGATGGATACGGGGTTTGTTCCTGGACCCACAATCTAGGATGCGCCAGGCTCAGAAAGTTCCTAGTTTCTCCTTTTCTCACCTTTTCTTCTCTATTTCTGCTTTTTGTTCGTGGACTGGCTTCCTCTCGACCTGTTTCTCAGTCTACCTGGCACAGAAGAGGGTTCCACTCAATAGGTGAGCTCAGGGCAGACGAGGTGAGCTCAGGGCAGACCAGGTGAGACTGCATGGCCTGGTTTCAGGCACAGGTCTCGGATTGGCCCACCTTCATCACCATGCCTGGTCCTGGGCCAATCAGCTGTGAGGAGTTAGTCACAAGATACAAACATGGCTGCCAAGGGCCCATTCCTGGAGGTAGGGACTACTTAAGGGGTGGGAGCGACCAGACATGGCAAAGGGCATGTACTTTTCTGTCACCTTCCGTCACATGTGACCTGCTTATTTAACTTATATGTAGAGTACATCATGCAAAATTCTGGTCTGGATGAAGCACAAGCTGGAATCAAGATTGCCAGGAGAAACATCAATAACCTCAGATATGCAGGTGACACCACCCTTATGGCAGAAAGCAAAGAGGAACTAAAGAGCCTCTTGATGAAGGTGAGAGTGAAAAAGCTGGCTTAAAGCTCAACATTCAAAAAACGAAGCTCATGGCGTTGGATCCCATCACGTCATGGCAAATTGATGGACAAACAATGGAAAACAGTGACAGACTTTATTTTCTTGGGCTCCAAAATCACTGTGGCTGGTGACTGCAGCCATGAAATTAAAAGATGACTTGCTCCTTGGAAGAAAAGCAATGACAAACCTAGACAACTTATTAACAAACAGAGCCATTACTTTACCTACAAAGGTCCATATAGTCAAAGTTATGGTTTTTCCAGTAGTTGTGTAGGGATGTGAGAACTGAGCAATAAAAGCGACTGAGCACTGAGTAATTGATGCTTTTGAACTGTGGTGTTGGAGAAGACTCTTGAGAGTCCCTTGGACAACAAGAAGATCAAACCAGTCAATCCTAAAGGAAATCAACCCTGAATAGTCATTGGAAGGACTGGTGCTGAAAGCTCCAATACTTTGACCACCTGATGCCAAGAGCTAACTCATTGGAAAAGATCCTGATGGTAGGAAAGATTGAAAGCAGGAGGAGAAGGGGATGACAGGAAAAGATGGTTGGATGGCATCACTGACTCAATGGACATGAGTTGGAGCAAACTCCTGGAGATGGTGAAGTACAGAGAAGCCTGGCTTGCTGCAGTCCAGGGGGTTGTGAAGAGTCAGACATGACTGAGCAACTGAACAACAATGTACTTATCTAATTCCGAGCCAGATTTTAACCAGGTGCAGGGTAATTTCCTCAGAGATGGCTCTATGGGCACCTGTCCCACAGCTAGCTTTGCCTTATAATAAAGAGGCGGGCAGGATTCCTTATACAGAGTCCAGTGTTGCCAGGGAGAATATGCCTGCCTTCTCTCAGCATCACTCAGTGAGTTAGCAGTGAAGTCACAGACTCCACCAAGACCATGGAGGAGGTGAAGCCAGCTTTCTCAGGAAGAGGTTTGTGGCCTGGGACTGAGGAAGGGTGGGGATGAGGGGGGTGAGGAGGGAGGGGGGACTGCATCCTGTTCTGAGGGAACCAGAGCTTACCTGTACATGTGACCGCCTCTCATATCAGACCTCTTGAGGGCAGATCAGGTTGGGAAGTGAAACTCAGAGCTCTTGGACATAAAAAGTAAAATCTTCCTTGACTAGTTCAGCAGAAATTGGATTTATTAAGTGTATTAGTTGGGATGAGCTAACCCTATCTCAGCACCCAAATCAAAGTGGCTTAACACAATAAGAGGCTCATTTCACAGCACAGTCAGGGGGTACTCAAGGGCTCAGGCTCCTTTTTTCCTCCTGGCTCCACCACTTTCCAGGGACTTTGTGTCTTCCACTGCATCCTCTGCCCTTCCTGGGAGGTAACAGCATGGAGGATTGAACTGGGGGACATGGAGTGGGGGTTAGGGACCAGGCATGGAAGTCCATCACTTCCGTCCCCATTAGTCACAACACAGTCATGTGAGCACGCAGCAAAGCCAGGAAGGCTGGGAAAGGCAGTCCAGCAGCCCAGCTCCATGGATGCCCAAGGATGAAGAGAAAATGGGTCTGGTGAGCGTCTAGCCATTCTTTTAGGTGATGTTAGAACACGCAGAGTCACAGGCAGGTGGGGTAAGAGCGGAGGCTCTTACAGGAGCATTCCAGGAGCATTCCCAAACCCCAGCCTCAGACTCCATGAACAGGCTGTGGTGGCCTCTGCACTCAGAGCCACTAATTCCAGATGCCTGCTTGGTTGCATACACCACCTCTACTCACACTAATGAAACTTCCAGTCCCAGGGTTGACCTTTCCGTGTCTGGGAAACAGCTCCCACCACTGCAAGCCAGATGTCTCTGCCGTCACTCCAAACACTTTTTTCTTAAATACTTTCTTAAGTATTTAGGCCCCAGGCGGAAACTCTTTCCTCATCTGCTCACCCCCTTCTTTTCACCCCAGGCTACTCATTCCTAAATTCAGATCTTGAATGGGAGCATCTCAAGGGTCAAGATTTGATCCTTCCTTCCTGCAGGGAGGGCTAGGAATTTGAGTTCAGACTTTATTCTGGGAAGGCAGGACTAGAGAGCTTTTTCTGTAAGGAGGATATAGACAGTCATAAACAAGATCTATTTCCACCATCGGGGTGATTGGGAGGAGGAGCCTTCTGCCACCCATGGCTCTGGCTGGACCTAGATCACATAGTATTGGGAGGAATTAGATATTATCATCTATCAATTCCAAAATCAGAGAGGCCAAATGGCAGAAATGCAGGTTCTTAGAGCTGGGAGGAATCTTAGAGGTTACCTGTCTTGTCTCGTCTTCAATTTAACACTGAATCCCTCTCCCAAGCTGCCCTTTGATCACCAGCCTCACTGAAATCTTCATAGTGCTGGGTGACTCAGTACTGCCCTACAAGATAACCTTTTGGATTACTTTTTGTTCCTAGAAGGTTTTGTTGGTTTCTTTCTTTTTTTTTTTAAGGGAAGCAGAAATCTGATTTTCTATCATTTCCACCAGTGGCTCCAGTTCTGCACTGGGAAGCCTCATGGGACAAATCTGTCCTGCATGCATATGACAATTTTTATGCTCCAACTTCCTGTCCTTTAAAAAAAAATTTAAAAATTTAAAAAAAAAACCCTCCAGGCTGAACAGCCCTCCTTCTCTCCACTCTGTTCCTCATTTGGTGATCTGCTTAAGAGACTTGTGGGCAGAAGGTCAGGAGGACATATCCCACAAAGGCAGTGTTCTACATGTCCCTGCTTTTTACAACTGTCCCAGAGGTGCACACACATTCCAGTCTGACTAATGGGAAAACCGAGGGGTTGAGCAGTTGGGTAATAGAAATCCAGGGTCCAGATCAATCCAGGAACCAGTCCCCAGCTCCACCAATGACCCTCCTGCGAGGTCCCATCCTCCCTGGGTTCATCCAGGGACCACCTCTCTGTGTGATGGGTCCCTGTGCCTGTGCAGGCCTGAGGAGGTCTGGCCTAGAGACGCTCTGCTGGGCCCCACTGTGGGGGTTCTCACCTTAGTACCTCTCAACAGTTACTGCAAATAGTAAAAAGCATAGACATAAAAACAAGTCCTCCTGTAACAGCCTCTCACAACATTCTCCTGAATGCGTAGTGTGATGACTTAGAAGAAGAAAAAAACAAAACTCATTTATTCTGATATTTTCTTTTTGGAAAAAGCAAAACATTACTGTTATCTTTCTGAAACCACTGTCTGTCACCTCCAATGCCCTTGGCCTAATGGGTGCCCCCAAGAAAGGAAGGCTCCTGTTATTAGCGGGATCGCTGGTGATTGTATAGAGCTGCTCTGGGAATGATGCCTCAATAGACAGACATCGCGGCCAAGTTCAGATGTGATCAGGCTACCTCAACCATCCAGACTCTGGACTCCAATTATGGTTAATCCCCCCAATCCTGAATCTTTTGCTGTATCCTTTTATCTTCCCACTGTTTTCATGATTATAAAGGAAATGGATGTTTATTGTAAAATATCTGGAAAACACAGGCATATACATATATTAAAAAATTAAAATGGTCAGGAATAACCGCACCTAACGATTTAGTGCCTTTTGTCTGGGTTTTTACACATCCATGTATAATGAGGTTAATGTCATGCTATAGATCCAGTTTTGTAGCCTCTTTTCTCATTTACTATTGAATGGTGAGCATTTTGCCATATGGGTTTGTTGAGAAGAGGGCTTTAAGGCTGAATCACATGCCTTCTTTCACTGGCTTGTTCCTCAGTCAGGAAGGATGAAGTGTGCCAGTCTGTGAAGACATAATTGTCAACAAGACAACCAGCCGGCCCTCGGGGGTCTCCTCACCTGGTGGGGGAGGCGGAAGTGGGGAGCCGGTCATTGCCAAGGTAGTGATCCCTGGGGAAAGGGACAATGCATACCTGACACATACCAGGGGTCC